AAGATGGCGGCTTAAAATCAAAATGTTATATTTTTGTATCCTGGAAGCTTAAGATCTTTCATTGGATCATTAATTCTTAAGTTAAAAACTTTAGCAGCAAATAAAACAAAATATATAGCCTTTCAAATGTATAATGATTTATGAACGATTTAAAATGCGGTTTGCTTTCGAAGAAGCGACAGACTTCGTATCGGTGATGCTAAACAGTACATATAAAACTGTTTACTTTATGATAATGAGCAGAGGACATTTTAAGAAACTCGTTGACAAGTAATGACTTTATCTGGTGGAAAATGAATGGCAATAACAAGCCGCTAGAGATGGAATTTTTATCGAGACAAACATTTGCATCTCGTGAAAACGTTTCCGTGTGGACAGAGCGACAAACTGACAAAATTGGAAACGACGTTTTAGAAACGCTCGGAAACGTTACCGTGTGCACATAGTCTGAAGGTCATCGGACATATGTCCGACCCAAACTCAACGTCATCGGACGTTTTGTCAGACGGCCCTGTAAAATATATTTTAAGGCCTGATTTCAAATCCTCCAATTCTGACTGGACTAGATTCCAAGTTTTCGCATTTTGATCCAGTCCTCAGCTTCGCCTCGGATTTGACCAAATTGCGCGAACTTGAAAATTGAAATGTAGTCCGGCAGTCCTCATAGTCGGATTTCAAATACTACACGATGGTCTGGAAACTAAACAGAAGTCATATATATATATATATATATATATACTTTGTCTGCATGAGTTTATGTTAATTTGTGCATGGTCACGGTGATTGAGCTCATTGTATTTTCGTAAAATGAAGTGATCGTCCAATAGGGATAGCTGAGATGAACCGTGCAACTACCATGAATAATATGCAATGAAGTTGAGACAAAGGATTTGTGCACGGCGAGGGACAGTTCAACATTAAACTGTAGCTTTGAAGTTTGCCGAGTTTCCAGGCCATCATATATCTTGACAGACTATATGCATTAAGTGATTTTCCTCTATCTCTAAAAGCATGCTTTTTTAATGTTTTGAGGTCGCACAACTGACGTTAATAGAGAGGTTCAGATTTTGACTTCCACTGCTGCAACCGTTACATCCAACCAGTCAGATGCATTAATTTGACCAATTAAACAATCAATACGTATTGAGCCTGTGAGGGGCATAGCGGTAGTGGTAGTAGAAATCAAATCTGAACCTCTCTAATATTATATATATATACAGTATGATTAGTTTTTTCTCACAGGTAACATAAAACCCGTCAAAAAGTGTTTTTGTTTGATTTCTTGCACGACATATGCTCGCTCAAGGCAGTAGCTGCCTCACATGTCGATCAACGAAATTACTGGCGTTGCAGCGCCCAATATATAAGCGATCTATACATTTTAATTGCAAGCGATTTATCCCACGCGCATAAAAAATGCATATGACCCGCAGGCCTTGAGCGCATTTGTTTACTTTCAAAACAAACGAGGTGCGTGGAATGAGTCAGGCCGCACGTCGAGGTGCGCAGCTCAAACAGCCAGCTCTGCTGGGCACATGAAGAATATATGTTTGCATTCAGTATTGAGTTCATGAGATTCAGTATTGAGTTCGTGAGTCGTTGAGACTTACATTACTTAGGATGCACTGCATAACAAATGTTTGAGTCAAATACCTTACCTCTAATAGAGATGAGACTTGGGGTGCCTCCAAAAAATTCTTCAGAAAATTAATGTTCCCGTCAGTCTCGTGCGGTGCTCTGTGTTTCAGGTCATCTAAGCACAGCAGGATATCTGAAAAGACTAACCAAAAACGAATCTTGCTATCAACGAATTTTTATCAAGTTTCACAAATTGACAATTTAGTTTTGTGGACCACAGCAGGAATGGCACACCGATGCAAAACCTTAACCATGCATACACAGTTCTCTACAACGACAAGGTAGAGATTTAAAGTTTGTTCGTTCACTGCAACCAGGTATATCAATCATGTTTCGCTCGCTACTCTGGTTTAAATAAATGATTACAAAGCCCAGTCAAATTGTAATGAGGACCCAACGTTTCGAGGCAGAGGCCTGCAACAAGGCAGAGGTCAAGAAACACTCAAAAATGAAAACAATTAGATTTAATACTGTACAATTAAGACAAACGTGGCAGATAAAATATTTCCCCCAAGATGTAAAGATTGCTCTCATGCAAAATTCCACAGAAAAATGACCCCCAGCCCTGGGGCCATACTGATATTTTCGAGGAAATACTTTACTGCATTAAATTATGAGATGCATGTTATAAACGAGTTTACTTATTAAAGGTAGACTCTCCATTCAATTGTAATATTTAGATGATATTGGGCCACAAAATTATTTCTCTTTGCATTGCCTATACAAGAGACAAGGGGAAATGGTACAGGATGAGGCCGGACGCGGGGTTAAGTTATTTCATAGCATGTACGTATATGCACATTATAAAATTGAAGGTTCCCAAAAAATATGCCTATACCTACGATGGAGAAAACAATGGCCTGGATTTGCGGCCTCAAATTTTGTAGGATGCAATTAAGAGAGTGACAGATATAATTGCCCTCCTGGTTCCACAAGATCCTAAAATCTACAGTAACAAAGTGGTACGATGTGGAGCGAAACTTCACTTGGGGAAAAATTCCACTGAAAAACAGCCATCTGTTCATTAACTGAAATGGCTATGAGGTAAATCCTCTTTCTGGAACAAAACAAGTACGTAACAGTGATCATGCCACTGAAAAGGTCTGCACTTTCTTTTGCCTAGAAATAGCAATTGACTCCAAAAGTGGAGTAAATAAAAAAGGTACAGAACGACTATTTTTTTTGGAGTAAATTTTACTCCTTTTTTACTCCATTTTTTTGAGCAATTTATATTCCTTAAGTAGAGTTGTTTTGACTCTACTTTTTAAAGTAACTAGTTACACGCGTAATCGTTATATGCAAGTAACTATAGTTACACGCGTAATCGTTACTTTTTGAGTAACTCTTGAGGTATACTGTAGCTTGGTACTTTTTTGGGAAGGTAACTTCTAACTGTGGTAAGGCCTTAAAATATCGGTCGGTCACGGACACTGTCCAACCCATTCGTGAAATCGTCCGACATATAGAGAGGAAGCCATTGGACATCTTGTCCGACTTAAGTGAAACTAACGTTTATTGTTTGTCCGACTCCGTGAATTGGTGTAACTTTGTCCAACGTAAATCAAAATGTACCCTAGTCAGAGACTAGAGGCTCGTATGTTAAATGGAGATTCATACAGTATTGGATATAAAAAGTGAACAGGAAATGATGTTTTAATCTAATCGAGTGCAGGGTAGCGAGCGAAATGGTGAAGTAAAAAACCGGGCATAAAAGTCTTACCGTGCAGCTGTTGTTCTTGGCAGGCAAGTTAATTTTACCTTGGAAAAAAGTATGAATGACACAAATGATTTAATATCTTCACAACATAATACAATACATTGTGCTGGTATTAATTTGTGTCATTCATGCTTATTTCCGAGCCAAACTGAACTGAGGGTCATCAGACATCATAAAACATTTGTCCAACCCAAATTCAAAGTAATTGGACATTTTGTCAGATGGCCCTGCAAAAGATATTTTAGGGCCCGACTGTGGCTAGGCGTAAAATGTACAAAAATCAATGATAACTATACAGTCAGTAGTTACATTCTGGCATCGATAGCACTGTCATTATTTTATATCTGCGATATCCAACTGATGGAAAAGAGGTTTTATCCCAAGTTGCGACCACACACATGCAGCTGATATACTGTAGTTGTCGCTCAATTTTGCGCACAATTTTTCATTATTTTTCATATGCCGCTACAGTGCGAGATGACTGATCGCAATTTTGAAGATTATTTTCTGGTTAAGATAATTGTAATTCACTTCGTGTTAACAATTGACATAACTCAATCCATACATCATAGTCTAACTCTTGCTTTTGCTTCGCATATTTTCATATGTTTGACATACTGTGTAACTAGTTACAAAAAGAATGGTTGCATGTATATTGTTTTGATGGTCTTACTAAATGATCAGGCAAAAAACTGCTGGCTCTGAAAAAACTGCAGGCTCTACTGTAAGTAAGTAAATTAAGCAAGTAAGACAGTGGGGGTATGCTAATCATCCCTACTTGCAGCTGAGAGCTACAGTGTAAGCTGAATAGATCTTTCCCCTTTTGAGTGAAATTTTGATCTAGACAAGTCTGGACAAAAATTTCATCACAGCTTGCAAGAGCATCACAAAATTAGTAATATTCCAAAGTTTCGTTGCAAAATGTTGTAAACTGCGGATAATATAGCCTTGCGAAGTTTGCCGTTTTTCAGTCATTTTGTATTAAAAATGGGAAATTGATAATCAGTTTGATCATCTGATTATCAATTTCCCGTTTGTAATGCAAAATGACTGAAAAACGGCAAACTTCGCAAGGCTATATTATCTGCATTTTACAACATTTCACAACGAAACTTCGGAATATTACTAATTTAATTTTTGTGTAATTTGTGATGCTCTTTCAAGCTGTGATGAAATTTTTGTCCAGGCATATCTAGATCAAAATTTCACTCATAAGGGGAAAGGTCTATTGCAAAGGACACAGCTCAACCTGATCGAGTTCAAGGCTGTCTAAGAATGCCTCTGACAAAGCGCCCTGATCATGCACTCTGCTTCATTATTTTACTCTCGACTGATTAATGCCAGACAACTTTACAGGTACCAGTCAATTAACTACAGGTATACTGTTCAAAACTGATCTCTGTTCAAAACTGATCTCTGTTCATGAACACTCAATTTGTACCACTGTTTTATTTTACATTTTCTTACCAGGGAAATTTTACATACAGGAAAAGTTCTGGAAATAGCGAGGTTCAGATTTGACTTCCACTACCGGCACTGCTACCACTACCTCTCACTAGCTTAGAACGCATCTGATTAGTTAATTGGATATATCAAGTGCATCTGATTGGTTAATGGTTCCTTAATGGTATAGCGGTAGTGGAAGTCAAATCTGAACCTCTCTATTAATATAGCTAACCAGACTATTTGCCCATACTGGACATATTTCTTAATTGCAACAATTAACATACAAAATTTAAATGTAATGATTTTTTTGTCCAAGCTTGCTGGCTATAAAGGGTTAATTCTACATAAAGCTATTTTCTGCATGTTTGCCTGTGGATAATCCCAGATCATGGCAAAAGGGGTAAGGGACTTCATAAAAACTATTTTCACAGTTTAACTGCACATAATTTTCACCTAATTGTATTGATCCCTGTAATATACTGTAGTTGATAAGCTCATGGTTGTTCTGTTGCCTTGGCGCGCAGGTGGACCGCGTGCGAGGTCTGAGACTAAGAGTAATTGGTGCCAATAGTTATAGTTTGCATGTGCATGCATGTACACAGAATAGGTTATTAATAGAAGTGTTCAACTACAACATTACAATCCCTACAATGCATAAAGGCATATACAATATAACACAATATGGGCATTTCTAAAGTCTGCATGGCAATTAAATGTACGTAATTAGGCAACTGAAGTTAAATTTTAAATAAGCAAAGTGAGTGCCATGTGTATAGAGTACAAAAATTATTCTACAATAATTATTTTCATGTCCCCCCGAAGTTATATGATTGGATATCCTAGCTACTCATAGCCTGCGAACAGGCTCTCAAGCTGAATTGAGAGCCTGCATCGATGACTAATGAAATTAATATCTGCATCTCAAATCGTGACGCGAAATTCTCATTGGTCAGATGCTATAATTTATATGTTTCCGCTGAGCTCGATATATGTCAACTGCTGAAGCAACTGATCAAATTGGTCTTGGCCATCTTATCTCAAAGCACGAAATGTTCTGTTTTGAGAAAACAGTATTTAACTTAAAACATTTAAACTTTTCCTTGCCAATATCTAATATTTCGAAAAACAGTATAAACTGTACGGTCTAAATTTAGTTTGCACAGTCTAAATTTAGTGTGCACGAAAGTTGTAAACAACACCATATAAGGATAGACATTCCATATTTGGAAAAACGAACGTTACGGGGCAGATATTCAAATTCATTAGTCATCGATGCAGGCTCTAAATTCAGCTTGAGAGCCTTTTCGCAGGCTAAGCTACTCATGAACAGATGTTTGCCTTTAAGAATTAATATATATTGAGGCTAGTGCTTCCGTAGTTCCTTTTGATCATTGTAAAAATGATTTGCATTTTATACAGGCTAACACTCATATTTTGCATACTAACCCATTAAGCTACAATACAGCTAAATGTACCCAACTTTATTATTTTACTCTGTTGAATGTTGTTTACTTCTCAAGGGGAGAATCTTGCACATTAATGGTTAACCAAACTATCAGAATGTTAGGGTTTGGAATCCAAGTGAGAATATATACATTGTAAGACCTAACCAGGAACGACTGCGAAAAATGCAGCACAAGGTCCTCTGGTAGGAATTGAACCTACGGCCCTGCGATTCCGGTGCAGCACTCGAACCAACTGAGCTACAGAGGCCAGCTGTTAAGCTGTAACCGTAAGTTCATGTATGTATAGGTAATCGGGTGTGCAGGTTTAGGTGGACTTCATGACTTAGACTCTTGCACCTCACTTGGTGGAATCAACGTTGATTCCACCAAGTGAGGTGCAAGAGTCAAAGTCATGAAGTCCACCTAACCAAACTATCTGCTAGCTCGGCCAAATGTGTCTTATTAACTTATTTATTAATTAAGCTGCAATACATCCAAATGCACCCAACTTTATTATTTCCCTTCATTATTTCACTAGTAATTAACAACACCTCACATATTGTAAATATAAAACAAAGATGTTAAAAATTATAGTTCAAGGGTAACAACCCAAAAGCCTGTTTAATTAACGTTTCTATACATCCATTAGCCCAAAATATGTAGTATTGCTTTTTTTCAAGTAATTAACCAATTGTTAACCTTTTAAGTGGCAACGTGCCCTAGTTTATTATTTTACTCTGTCTAACACCAGATGATTTTACTTGTCAGGGGGAGAGTGCTGCCACTCAAAGTTGCATTATGCCCTAATGCACTCTGTGTAATGCCAGACAATTTAATTAATCAAGGGGAGAGTGCTAGCACTCAATGGGTTAATCATCAGACATCTGCCCACATGTGATGTGTCTAGTTAACCCATTAAGTTACATTGCACCCTAGATGCATCCTACTTTGTTATTTACTCTGTCTAACACCAGACGATTTCACTTGTCAAGGGGAACTGGAGATCAATGGGTAATTACCGGTAATGATAATTAATGACAACAAAACATCAGAAATAAAATAAAAACACATTATGCTCATGAACAGGAAACAAAAAATACCATATTTACTAGTATTGTTTCCCATATTACCATACACAAACCCTCAACAATCATTAAATACAGTACAGTACATACAAATAATACATGAAGTTGGTTTCATGGCGATATCATGAGCTTCTGCTGGGATCTCATGCAAACTACAATGTTGGATACAATACTGGCGATCATTCCTGACAATATTAATGTACATTGGGAAAACAGACTTGGTCACCCCTCTCCCCCAGTTCAATGTAACAATCCTGAAACAACATTTGGTAATTTACCATCGGCATGACACAACCTCGACATTGAGTACAACTTAATTTGAGTTGTGGGTGTGGAGCTTAAGAATCTTCAGCAACATCATGTTAACACTGGATTGAATTTATCATAATGGATAACATAACATTTATACGGTAATTACCTCTTTGCCTATCATCACAAACGTTTCCACATACACACAAATCTTCAAGCATTTAGAGAAAGGTTTTGCCAGTCCACAAGGCGATTCTTTGAGCTAAATTGTCTTTATCAATAAAATTAGCAGACTTAAGAAAGGATAATTCCCCGTAAATGCCTTAATTCCTCTTTAAACACTTGTAATTAAAGCATAATAAATATGAATAATATTTGGATGAGAGGATTTACTGTAATTTACCAGTATCCAATTTCCTACTCACGAAGGGCAATTAAACAGAGATACATACACAAACAACTGTTTTCGGAATCCAAAGGATTGAGACATACAGAGTTTACAATTAGATCAATTTTAAAATGCAGCTACAAGTTATATTCCAAATGTATTTCAATCGCATATATACTCACATAAATTTCCAGTCATTTGTAAACTCAAGCGTACTGTCAAATGATTGAAAGGTACGACGTAACTAGCCAAAATTCAAGCTCAGTAAATATGTGAACAGTCAATATTCCCATAATGTATTTACACCACATACAACCTCCTGTCAAGTTTATATAATGAATAGCTCGATGTTGACGATGTTTGTTCTCGGCGCCATGCTGTGAAAATGGTTTCCATTGATCTCCTTGACTCCTTGTACGTGCAAAACGTTAACGCGGGTATGGACACACAAACGCGGACATACAGACACCGGATATTTCTGAAACACACAGCAGTTCTGGAAGACGGACGGCTACCGGATTACTTCTATTTCAACCATAGAGCCTGTTCGCAGGCAACTAGAGTAGCCGATCACAGAATAAGTCACACAGAAGGTCGACTTCTTTGTTTTTGCTATGATTTTGGCGTAACCCTGGCCACCGATGAAGTATATACTTACTTAATCTATGCCCTGGGGTAACCGTAATTCGTCATCAAAATGCTGACGCCATGGTCGCAGCCAGTGCGCGTTTGAGAGGCATTCACCCTCCTGATAATATTCAAAATGGCGAAAGTCCAGGGAGGGGGAATGCCTCGCAAACGCGCACTGGCTGGAGCCATGGTGTCAACATTTTGATGATGAATCATGGCGTGGTTACTCGAGTCACAGAGAAGAGATATATCTCTTCTCTGTGCTCGAGTCGACCTTCAATTCTGTGTACCTCATTCTGTGACCCGATACTGCTTTTTAACCGTTGTAATAAAAATGCATGAAAAGTTATATACCTACAGATAGGTACCCTGCTGACAGTGATTCTGCTAACAACACAATATTATCCTTCTGCCTAATTACTAGCATGAAGGTTGGGAATCCCCTCCTGATGAACTAACGAGTCAAAACAATACAAAGGAGTCAAAACGATACAAATTATTTAATACCTACATAAAGCCTGGTTCACGTATGCCTGCGGCATGCCTGCGACTGTATCATTATGCCTCTACTTGCCGCCGAAATACCGGCAAAGTTGAACTCAACTCAACTTTCTCGGCCTACCGCCAATGTAACTGAGGCACTGGAGGCAATCGGCGAACAAATGTTCACATAATTTACGTTTTAAAGCTAGCACCGTATCGTCGCCGGTATATCACCGGTACGTCGCAGGCATATATGTGAACCAGGCTTAAGTGGCTTAATTGAAGGTATGGGCTGATTGAAAAAGATTGTTAAATGGGATATGATTCCAGGTAACGATAGCCAGCGTGGCAGGACTTCAATTTTATGGGGGGGGGGGGGCTGATTTTAAACGACTGTTCTTGGATAAAATGAAAACTTATATACAATGACATATGACTGAATTTGGCGGTAAGGACAATTTAGGACATATATTTAATAGGCAGTCTGGATCTTCTAGGAAGACTGGCCCTGGTGGATCTTGTAGAACATAGAGTGACTTGGTGTAGCAGTCACCGATCATTGGGGAGACGTGGCTACAATCCTGGCAAAAATTATCGTGGACAGCGCGCGCGGAAATAGAAATATCATCTTTGCCTTTGACCAATATATACGTGCAAAACAATGTTGAATCCTTGTTCAATGTTGAAAGCTTATTTTGCGAAATGCATGTCAAGACCAACATTAGCGACTTTAAGCATGTACGACGGGATCGAACGCGATGGCTACGGCAAAGAAACTCGTTAAACCAATTGATTGCAGAAGAAAACCTGTCGTCTATTATCCACCGTATGAAAATAATACATTTGAAAGATCAAGATGAACAATGGGTTTATGATTGAGAAAGGTTCTAGGACCCAATTTAAAATAACAGTTGTCCCAGCTTGAAATATAAGCGTTGTGTACAAGTGACGTGATAGTCTGTATTTCGCCGTTGTAAAACAGAGCCACGGCGACGTCTAAAAGTAAAACGTCCGTGAGATTTCAATTATTAATTTCTGCTCATTTTCTTCCATTATTATGACGTTATTAGCTTTTCTCGTTGCACTTTCGTTCTGCTTTGTTGAAGTTCTTAATAACGGTGTTCTTTATAATTATAAAAGCGTAAAATTTAAGGCGGTTTCTTGACACGTTCCCGTACTAGATTAAACTTTACTTAGTGCGTGGATGCGGGGATGACAAAGATGCAAAAGTAATTTAGTTTACACACCTCAGCCGGTGGCGTGCTGGGTACTATTTTTCTGGGGGGGGGGGGCAGTGGGCTGTCAACCAATATGCGCCCCTATAATGTTACGTTTGGAGATGGTCATTCGGAGAAGGTCATAAATGATGGTCATAAAAGATGGTCATAAACGGAGATGGTCATTCGTGGGAAGATAACCCGGCCACTTCCTGCGCCTCTGCCTATGATTGTTCGTAAAAGTTGGTTGAAGATACTTGGTGTAACGTTTCAAGAGAATCCTTCCATGTGGGACATGCATCTAGATGAATTAATGAGTAAAGCCTGTAGCAGAATGTACATTATTCGGATTTGCAAATACTACGGGTTTTCTAGGAAAGAGCTGGATCTTCTGTTCCATAGTCTTATTTTATCAATAATAGTTTTTGGTATAGAGGTCTGGGGATGTGCGTCGTATTCTAAGTATCTTAGTCAAATAGATAAACTTTTAAAACGTGCATATAAGTATGGATATCTTATGTATCAGGTATCGATTGTTGATATATTAAACAATAAAGACAGAGATTTATGGGAGAAAATAACTACGGATCCCAACCATGCCCTACAAGTTTTGCTGCCTCCTAGTCGTCAACTGGAATTACGCAATCGCGGACATGAGTATGAACTACCGAGAGTTCGAACAGAAAGGTTTAAAAGAGTGTTCGTTAATAGATGTCTTTTTAACTTCATATGATATTTTTAAATTAGAAATTAACTTCTTAGGAACTTCATTAAACATTACAATAATGGTATTTTAATCAATACTAATTCAGAAATTAGTATAATAATTATTGATAAGTAAGTGCAAATTGTAAGCCCGCACGTTTGTTGTGAGGTGTTGCTTTTAATATTTTAATAAAGATTTATACATAAACGAGGGTCGAAGGCACGAGCCGAGTGCCGCAGGTGCGAGGTTTGTCTAGGGGATCCCCCCCCCCCCAGGAAAATTTTTGAACAGTTTAGAGTCTCTGAAATGCCATTTCCTGGACTTTGGGGGAAGATTTGACAGAAATCTGATGGTCAGGAAACGGCATTATAACGTGTCGAAATTTGCAATTTGGTTAGAGTTTAGTAGTAGTACTTAAATTGAGCAATGCTAACTACTTCCAGCGATTAAACTAATCCCAATTCTATTCTGTACTGATCATAATTCTATTCTATACGAAGTCCCGAAATATATTTTTGTAATACAAATACTATAAACTATCCCTCTATTAAACGGCCACCTCTATTAAACGGCCGTGGCCACCCAAAGAGCGGTCCCAAATGATGTTTTATGTCAATTTTTACCTCTATTAAGCGACCAGCTTGCAGGATTTACTTGGCGCAACACCTTGTCAAGAGAGCCGAAAATAAAAGTCGAGCTAGTTTGCTTTATTTGTAAAATAAGGCTTAAAAATATGTTTTAACACATGCTACTTTACACCTCAAACGCTTTACACCTCAAAAGCATTGATTACGCCCAGGGTCTATTATTTGCGTACCTCGATTTAGCGGCCACCTCTATTAAGCGACCACAAAGCCGATCCCCGAGGGTGGCCGCTTAATAGAGGTTCGACTGTATCTAATTTGCGCCGCTCTTGTGAATCATGAAGCATAATAAAGGGCATAATACCAGCAAAAAGGGCATAATTCCCGTGACCGCTTCGAAACCCGACCAATATTCCGGTACGAGACATTGCGTGTGATCACTGATCATGTTTCTATATGAACGATTTGGTGTGAGCCGTGAGGTAGCAAATTAGCAAATACGGTTAGACAAAATAGTCTGTAATTCAATATATCACTTTGTCGCCAATGCGCTTAGTCTGTTTATAAGTCTATAAACACATTTTTCTTGGCGGAAGTAACTATATTTTTTCGAATACGTTTTCCCCACCCACTTTCAAAATTCGGCGCGGGATCGGCGCCCCCCTTTTCATTTTTGCGCCCCCAAGAACTAGGCACTGGCCTACAGCTAGCACGCCACTGCACCTCAGTGTTCACGGAATTTTGGCCGTGTCCGAATAAGAAATTGTTAATTTTCTTTCCCAATTTTGCTATTTTAATCACATTTTCGGGAAATTCAATAACACTTATATTACATTAGATAAATGTATTATTAATACTACAACTTTGCTAAAAATTCCGTTACGCAGTGGACATGGATCGTAATTCGTAAAGTCTGCTCAACGGGTTATTGTCGCATTTTCGTATCAACGACCAGGCTGTTAGCGTAATCATTTCCATATTTTCTCACATATATATGATCGTTGTTGAAAATTTACATGCACAGTCCGTCTATAAGGAGTATATGAATACTTGATTAAATTGGCTTAAAAATGAATGAATCATAATAATTATCATGATATTTTCTGTGTTGATGCAATGTACTCAGATGAATATGATGCTTGTGTTACTCTGAGTGTATATTCACACCGGGCAAGCTTGAGAAATATGCCTGTCCACGGTGGGAATCGAACCTATGACCTTTGGAATACTAGCCCATTGCTCTGCCAACTGAGCTACGCGATCAAGTCGGTTCGAGTATGTGATATTTTGGAACAGAATCTAGTTCCTTCGATACCAATGTAACCTAGTAATGATATTTTCTGTGTTGATGCAATGTACCTCACCTGAGTTATTATTCACAGGGCAAGGTATAAACTATAAAAGGTGGGTAATTATATATTATACGCATGGAGGCTGTGCAAAATGCGTACTAAATGCTGTAATTAACTAATTATTATTACAATATTATTAGAAAATACTGTGCAATTAATGTTTTACCAACAACATACTCAAGCAGACAAAAAATGAAAAGCAAACAGTTGTCTTACAATTATGTACTCAGTATTCACTCACTCACTAGATTCTCTAACAAATTTTGCACCTTATACACTCCTTCCTACAGTACTCTGATGCGCCCAATTTACTCTGTCTAACGCCAGACGATTTTACTCGTCAAGTGGAGATCAATATTTTTACCCGACCAGGCAAGATGAACTTGCATGCCTTCAATCATGTTTCCTGCCTAGCCAGGACC